TATCAATTTTTTTTTTAAATTAATTTTGACGTTTTCAAAAAGTAATTTGTCAGTAAAATGACCACCAAAATGGTTTATTAAAAAATGTTTGCAAATAAAAACTAACAAAACAAAAAACTTGCTTCTTTTTGCTCCCAACTAATAATTTATCTGTTCATCCACCTCAAATTGGAATCAATTAGTATGCCCACTATCATCACCTGATCACAACAGAAATTTTATATAAAATAAACTACAATACAAAACAACAATGGAATTATTTATGAACCTTTGAGAAGCGGCAACGAAAACAAACACGAATTCGGCGAAAACTCGTTAAAAAAATGTATATGCAAATTGTTGCTCCAAAAAGAAGTGAATTAAAAAAAAAGACCTTAAATAACAACAGTTACGAGTTGTTATTATTTTTTAGCTAGATATAATATGCGGTTAAAATGTTTTTTTTTTTTCAAATATTTAAATGTCGTTTTACAACAATAAGCACAGAAAATGTGTAGATCAAAATTAAAAAAAAAATTTATATATATAAATTACAAAAAATTAATAAAACTTACACAGTAATTAAAATTATTAGTGGCAAAGTCTTTTTTGGAGCTACTGTTCTTTTAAAGATTGAACCTTTTTGGTCAATCAATTTGTTCAAGTCTTAGTTGCTATTCCTTTATTTTATTTAATATTGAAAAAAAAATTGCCAAACCCAAATGTGTTAACCACAAAAATCACTTTAGAATAAATAAACAGATTTTTATAAGAAAATTCTCGGAAATTTCAATTTGGCCATATCATGATGAGGGCATTTGAGAAATAAAGTCACAAATGTAAAAATATGCTTCACTAAAAGTATATTTTCGAAACAGGTGCTTTAACCGCAGCCGTAATTCAGTCAAAAGCTCTAGTTGCTACAGGAGCGCTGCAATTGGGAAAGGCTTCAAAAGTTTGTTGATAAAAGAAGTGTAAAGATGGATATATTCGGTTGCTTTTCTGAAGACTTTGATGCTTTAAAAGTTATTGCTGTAATATGGGAAGCAATTTAGAATGGCAGCATCTTAAAGTTTCGAAAGTATTTTTATGCTAAAAGCCTAGTAAAAGCCTGGAACGAATTTTTATAATGATAACCCCGTTCACAAAAAGAAAAGCTGTGCAAGTCTACGAAAGTTGAAAAAGCTTTACAAAAGCTATGCAAGCTTTAAACAATCCACAAACGCTTAATAAAAAGCTACAAAAGTTTTTCAAACGGGATAAATTATTGCCAACACATTTTAGTTTTAAACTTGTTTTCATTGATACCCAACTCCGTAGTTGTTTTAATTATTTATTATCTTGAAATTATTCCATATAAAAACCTTAAAAAGCTTAAAAGCTCATGTCACTTAAATTTAAAAATATAAAAGGAGCTGGATTAGAGCTTATAATCTTCGAAATTGTGCTCATAATCTGGAAATTGTAATAACTTTTGGAGCTTTTGAAAAGCTTATAGAATCATAAACCAAATTTCTTTGGTGTTGAGTAAAAATTTATAATAAGAAACCAATCTAGATAATTAAATATATTTTTTTAAAAGCCATTAAGCTTAAAAAGTTTTTAATTTGCATAACTGAAATTTCATTCCGTTACAAATATAAACATTTGGTCAGCTAAAATCTTTAAAAGAAGCTTTTAGGTTTAATAAATAATGATTAATAACACAAATCTGCAATCAGATTTTGAAATTGACACTATTTGAATAACTGAAAAGCTTCAAAGCTCTTGAAGGAGATTTCAGTTGAGCTTTTAAACTATGCTACCATCCATAAGTGAAAGCTTTTAATAAAAATATGGGAGTTAAACTTTCTGCAAGCATCAGCTTGATATTTTTTATCACCCTAAAAATTTCATTCATCAGAGAACCGCTCCTGAGCCGCTCTTCTCAATGCGGATACAAAAAATTTGTATTCAATCCTACGTAATGCTCACTTAGCTGTTAGTGTGCGTAAAGCAAAATAAATAATTATGTTTATTATTATGTGCCAACTTTGCAAATACTCGTAAATGATGCCGAAAAATAAATGCAGCAAAAAAGAGAAACAAAAAAATAATAGAATAATGGACGTAAGCAAAGTAAACTCAGTTAACAATATATGCCATTAAGTATAATATTACTTAGTCATAGAACTGCCAAAATGAAATTTGTCGGAACATCAAAATAACTTTTGCGTAAATAAAGAGAAAACAACAAAAAAACAGTAAACATTCTAAACAATAGTAAAACTAAAACAATTATTGGTAAAATTTAATTTATTTATTTACTTTTTTCTCTATATTTTTCTCTTTCTTTGGCATTAGTTTATAACATCTAAGTGTTTTTTTAGGAACTCATAATTTGTTTACGAACTGGTTGTTGATTTTTGTGGAAAATTTGAGAAACAATTTTTTGTTTTGCCTGCGATAGCTCATTTAACTTTCCATTACGCATTGAGACGTTTTTTATTTTTGTAATTTTTATTGCCAAAAAGATATAAAAAGTTATTTATCTGTAGAAAAAGAACTGATTTTAAAAGCAAACATGATTAAATGTTTATGAAAATTTTACAAAATATTTTATTGACAGGCAATAATTGCATATTTACATATTTTAATGAGTTCACCATGTCTTGAGATTACAGTGACCCAAAGTGTATCTTTAATTTTTGTACACTGAAGTTTTCAAAATAAGTAGTCACTCAACTCTACTTAAAGTTTAGTCTAAATTTATACCAAAAAAAATTAAGTTTTAAATTCAAATATCACATTTATAAATCATTTTCCTAACTCCCAGACGCTTATCACGCTACTGGTTAAGCCACATTGTCGCTATTAACACTTTCATACGATTTCGAAAGACCACCTGTAAATTATTAATGTTAATATAAATAATTAGGAAGTTCATTTGTGTGTCCATAAATGTGTGAATTGATATAAAATAGAATTTGTTAATTTGTAAGAATTCTTTATTGAATTATAATTGATTACTATTTAATTAGCGAATTGCTTATAAATAGCTTAAAAATAAAAATGTTAAGGGATTTGAAAATATTCATGTGCAAAGGGCTTATGCCCAACAAATCGCTGAATTAACACAATATATTATTTTCTTTTCATCTTAGTCGATTTTACTTTAACTTAAATCTATTTATTTAATTTAATTTGATTTAATTTTATTTTATTTTATTTTTTTTTTTTATTTTATTTCATTTTATTTTATTTTATTTTATTTTATTTTATTTTATTTTATTTTATTTTATTTTATTTTATTTTATTTTATTTTATGTTATTTGAATCTATTATGGTTTATTTAAGTTAATAACATTTTACTAAATTTTAACAAATATTTTATTCACGCAAGCGCCTTATACAGTACCACATTCAACATAATAAAATCTACACGAAAGTCAATATTTTGTTCAACCAATAAGCAGCTGCTATAAAAAGGTAAATCAGAGTGCTTAGATAAAATCGTAAATCGCCTGTGCTACACAATGATATACATATTTGATTAATACTTAGTTCCTCACCATTCCCATATGATTTTGTCATATCATCCTGTCAATATTTAATTCAAATAAGATATGCCAATAAAAGTTAAATGCGAGGAAAGTATTTTAGAAAATATTGTCAAAGGTGACATTGCAAGTACACAAAAGCAAAATTACGAAAAAAAAATGTAGAGTTAGCTGTTGTTATTTGCTTGTTAGAAGTATAAAAATAAAATATCTGCCGATAAAAACGCGGCTGTGTTGGGTGGAAATCGTGCAAAAGGTCCCGTGATAACTATGTTTTATGACAATAACAACGAACGAACGATTGGAAGGGTTGTTGCAAATTGGGGGAACAAAATTTGTGGAAAAAATCTCATTTAATTCATTTTAAATTATTTTTTTATTCATATTTTTATATTACATTATATTTTACTTTGTTTTGTTGTATTTTATTTAATTTTATTAATTTATTTTACTTCATTTTATTTATATATATATTTATTGCTTTTCAATTCATTTGATTTTAACTTTAATTTTATTTTATTTTACTTTATTTTAGTTTAATTTACCTTATTTCATTTTGAATTATTTTGCTCCACATTTTTATATATTAATGTATTTTACTTTGTTTTGATTTATTTAATTTAATTTTACTTAATTTTTTACATTTAAATTTAATTTATTTTATTTCATTTTTATTTTTTTATTTTACTTTTTTTGTTTTATTTAATTATTTATTTATTTTAATTTAATTTCTTTTATTTTATTTTCTTATTCATTTTTTAATTTATATTTATTTTATATTCTTTTTAATATTACTTATTTATTTTAATTTACATTATATTATCTTAATTTAAATTATTTAATTTTAAATGATCTTATTTCATTTCATCTTTATTTATTTTACTTTATTTTATTTGTTTTTTGTTTTAATTTATTTTATCTTATTGTCTTTTAGAGTGTTTTATTATATTTTATTATACGCCATTTTATTTCATTTCTTATATTTTTTTATTTTCCTTAATATATTTCTCTTTTTTTTATTTCGTTATTTATTAAATTTATTTGATTTTATTTTATTTTGTCTCATTTTATTTAATTTTATTAAATATTATTAATATAGTTTATTTTATTTAATTTCCCTTAATAATAAATATACAAATTAATAACTACATTTCTTAAGTATTTCTGCTTATTTTTTAAACTCGTTAAAAATATTATTGTGAAAAGTACAGTCTTTCGAACCACCTCTTACATTGGCCATGACAACAAACATACATACATTTGAACATTTCGTTTGTGCGAAAAAGCGAATAATCATTTTTCGCGTGAATTACTAAATTCAATAGCAGAGCAGGATGCACAATTTAACGTTTAGTATATGCTTGAGCCTTAGTTATATACATATTTATTTATTCACAAGTCAACTCGTCTGTAATAAATATATACATACAAACATACTACATTATATTAAAAATCGGTTTACATTACTCATTTATTTGACAGATTAATGCGATACACACGCGATACGCACACACACACGCACACTGAGTTGACGCAGCTAAGTTGACGGAAGAAAGGTAATAAAAGTGATCAACAGAAGGTAAGCAGCAGCAATAGCAGCAGCAGCTTCATCTCCACCAACGCCAGCACCAGATATAACCAGCGCATTCGCAGAAGCTCATTGACACTCCAGTCAAAGCGATAGCGAAACTAACAACACACGCCAGCCGAACAGCGAACAGCTGCACAGCAAGTAACAAGTGGCAAACAGTAAGCAATAAAAGTCAGCCGACAGTCAGCAGCTTGACGAGTCAGTCGCGCAGCAATCAATTTACTCACTCACCTACTATCCACCTACCTACCTACCGGCTTATCAACATATTAACATACCAGATATACACACGAGTACATGCAGATATACCAGCGAAAATCGATGTGACTGACTGTGTAAGCTATACAAATATACAATACGACTTTTGTTTTCGTTCGTTCAGTAGCCATAAGCGCACAGAAGAGCAGACGCTCAGCTCAGTTACTTTTTCGCTGAATTTTTTTTTTTTTTTCAAATAAAATTGACTTGAAAAGTCAGTAGAAGTGCGCGAAATTATCAGAACGTTGCCAGACGCGCAGCCTGAAACAACGGTGTGCGTACACGTCGAAAAGTAGTTGGTAAAGAGCGTTACGGCAGAATAAAGTCGCGGAGGAAAGGTGCTTAAAAGCATCAACTAGTAAATCCGAAGTAGTGAAAATTCAAAACTGCACAAGAAAAATAGTGAAAAGAAATAAAATTGAATTAAATTAAAATTAAATTAAATAAAAAGCGACTTTCAATTTTTTTTAACTAAAGAGAAATATTAAAAGCCAAAAAAAACCTACTTAAACTACATTTGTATTTGTTTTTGCTAAAAATTTGAAGTATTTGTGAAGAGCAAGTAAAATAAGACAGCGAAAGAAAGTGAAAGAAACTGAAACTGCCTAAATAGTTGAAAGACATTTGTAAGACAGTGCACAGTAAAAATATTAAAATATTCGCTTGGAAAAATTATAAATAATATTTAATTAAGAACGCTTTGAAACCTAAATTATATTTTTCTATACAAACTTGACCATAAGCCGTGAGCTACCTCAATAGAACAGCATAAATTAATTATACAACAGAAATCACTTTCAAAATTACTAAAGACGTATTTATCACCAAATAAAAAACTGAAACCATAAATTATATCATCAACCGTGAAACGACAGTATTATTACTTTTACTACTATTACCTTTTGTTCAACACTTCGAAAGCAATAAAATAAAAAAAAAATATTTCACTACCTATACGAGTACATAGCTGTGTAAAAAGATTACCGTAAAAGTATAAAACCTTGAGTTAATGGAATTTTCCACGTACAGAGTAGAACTAAAACTGTAACTTTGTTAAGTGAATTAACAAAAACCAAAAAAATAAGGGAGTGAAAATACCAACGAAACCAAAACAAACTACAACACAACACATAAAATACAACCGAGAAAATGTCTGCTTCCAAAGAGCAAATATTCGCCAGTCAGGATAAAGACTTGGACAAGCCAAAAGGTGAGTCCTAAAAAATTAATAATTATATTAATTAATAATTAGTTTTTAGCTAAAATATAAATACGAGTTAAAAAAAAAATTGATCACAAAAAAGAAGTCATCAAAGCTTATTTCACAGACTGCAAATAAATACTTTACAGACAGTAATTTTAGACAAAAAGAGACAAAATTGAAACCAAAATGCTTTTTTTGGTGCAGAAATATATAAAATAAAATTAAAAAACTTAAAACAGTTAAATAGAGTAAAAATATGTATGCCACCTGTTTGGTAGGCAAAGCTTTTTATTACCAAAAAAATTAAGAACACAATCATAAAATACGAAATTTTTTCCTTTTTGACAAAAAATGACTTTTAAATAGATAAAAATTAAATTGTATTGAATTTTTTTTATTTTAATTCTTTTTTTTTGGTAAAGAGTCATTCTGAATAGTAAAAAGAAAATATTGTAAAATATAGTTACATATTTTCTTTCTTTTTTTTTTTTTGGTTAAGAGTTATTTTTAATAGTATAAAAATTATAAAAATAGTTACATAAAGAATAAGAAATTTTAAACTTTTTTTATCAACAATGAATTTTAATAATAAAAATATGAGAAAATCAGTTAAATAAAAAATAAAATTCCTTTTTAATAATAAAAAAATGTATAAAAATTATTTATATAAAAATTTAATTTGTTATTATTTTTTTTTGTTAAAGAAATATTTTTTTATACTTTAAATTTTCCGAAAATAGAATTTTTTATTAAAGTAAATTTTCAAAAAATTTTAGCTTACTTAATTTTACTATTTTAGTAGCTTTTTTCACATAAAATTAAAGTAAACAATAATTTCACTTTATAAAATAAAAGCTGTAATAATATACATATATATATATGTATTTATTTCAATAGAAATAAATATTTATGGGCAAAAAGAAATAATTACTTATTATTTTAATAAATTGCATTTTACTTTAGTTTACAAAAATATTCATACAAATTTTGAATTTAATTGATATTATACGAAGATTCTTTTGAATAAGTAAAACCGTAAAATAAAAATATAAAATAATGTAAAATTCGTACTTACAAACCATAAAAGTATGTATGTATATTACGTAAATGTGACAAAAAAAATAAATTAAAATTTGTTTAATCTAATCTTATGATTAAACTTTTAAAATATTATTCCTTCAAAATATTTGTTTTTAATTTTGGCAGCTTAAAAAAAAATTTAAAATAATTAAATATTTTCAAGTTTATTTTTTTTTTGGCTGTTGAAATTTCAAATAAATAAAAAATTATTTTATAAAAAGCAGAAAGGAAAATGCTAAGCAACTGACAATTATTGCCTGACCTCACTTTTTACTGTATCAATGTCAATAAAGCGCTGAAGAATTTCCGAGTTTACGACATTTCAAATATATGTACATACATACATTTGAAATTGTTAAAATTCAACACGCACAAAACGACAAACGAGGTGGTTAAATCAAATGTGTGTAGAATTTTTAATGAAATGAAACATTACAAACAAACAGAGTAGAATGACAACTGCAAATGACAATTTATTAAGCAAAAAATTCAAAAATTGTGTAAAATTTCATAGGAAAAAAAATTAAAAATAACGTAAAAAAGTAAAAAGATTTATATGTTATGATAAAATTATAAAAAAATGGTAAAAAAAAAATTTGTAATCTGAAAAGTTATTTATTGAAAATATTATGAAAATAATAAAGCATAATAATATTAAAAATTTATATATTACGATAATATAGATAATAATTCTAAAAATCAATTTCATAAAAATAAAAGCAAAAAGGGAAAGTCTGCTAATAATAGTTATAGAATTTTAAATAAATATTAATTGAAAAAATTTCAAAATATGCATTCAGAGAAAAACAAATTATTCACAAAATTATACTAATAATTTTGAATTTTTTAAGCGTAAATGGATCATATATTTGATTTTGATTTTGACATTTTATTTTTTGCTTAAATATTAATCGTTATTTTTATTTTATTTTATGTTTTTTTTTTCAATTTTCAAATAATTTAATAATTTAATTTTTTTTCATTTTATTATTATTTTCATTTTTTAATATCTTTTTTTGTTCTTATAATGTTATTAACACCACTTTTTTAATTTAGTCTTTATAATTCATTTAATCCAGTTTCACATGCAATTAATTTGTTTGTTTACAAAGCTCTTTTCTCGCTTACATAATACGGCTAAAACATGTTAAGAAAGAATAAAAAATCATTATGTAATACGCAAGCAAGCAATTAAGTAATTTTTTAAATGAATTAAGTACGGTCGGAGATTGTAAAAAAATGCGAAAAAATGTGTTGGCTTACACAGAGCTGCTTACATACGCACAAATATATATTTAAACAAGCTCATATATGCATTAAAGTCTTTTTAATATTTGTTATTATTATTATTATTTTCTTTTTACCTACGACGAAAAGGTACGTGTATTTTTTGCTGTCTTTGTTATGACAGTGACAGCAGCAACAATATACATTTTTTTGGTAGATTAATTAAAATTTATACTTCTTTCTTAATTTCTTTAAACACACTTTTGAGTTCGTCTTGCTTCTTATTGGGTAATACTTTTTAAACTTATTACTTTTATTTTTTATTTTATTTATTTCATTTTGATACTGATTTTTATTTTTATTTTTAATTTAAAGTAATAAATTTTTTTTTGCTTATTTCGCATACCAACCTGTCAGCAATTGCTAATTGCACGCACGTAGCAACACACAACCAACTCAAGAGCAAAAAAAAACATTTTTTTCCGCTTTTATAAAATGTCATGTATGAAAATCGTATCAAGTGCGCTGAGACGCTAGTTATTTCCACTTTTTTGTTGATTAAAATGAATCAAAGCAATGAAGCTTCGCATAACAAACAACTTCCGTTTTGAATTTGAGTAGTAAAGTCGAGTTAAATGAAAAATTGCGACAAATAAAGAAGAGTAAAGTAAGCAAAAACAAAAAATAAGTAAATATATGAAACAAAATTACAAAAATAATAAATAAATAAATGCTAAAAAAATGCGGTAAACAGAAACAGCAAACAAAAATGTCAAAAAAAAGTTTCACAACTGCTGCTTTCACTTGGAAGCTGTTACACACACACCACACTGACATTTTTTGTTCAACTTGATCCCTCTCCATGAAGCAGCTTAATTTTTCGTTGCCTCTTTTTTTTTTCTTCTTTGCAAGTGAAATATGTCAAAACTTCTGTATATGCAAGCGTAAATCAGCAAAACACAATAAAAAAGTCTCACTGACAATTGAGTATCATTCTGAAAAGAGCATTGAGCTGCTCCGCTAAGTGATGGGCTTACGCGGCGTATGAGTAACCAGCGTGTGTTGCTTTGTGTGTGCGACTACAAATTAACGCAGCATTATTATGGCAATCATATGAAATTGAGTTTAATCATGCTTTGTATTTTCGGTTGTGTTTATTTTGAAGTTTTCCAATCTTTTTTATTATTTATTATTTTTACATTTACGCGCGAAAATAATTGCCAAATTTGTGCTGTCAAACTGTGCAGTATGTGGTCATTATTCAATCAGGGCCTAATATAATAGTAGTTTATACTCTATTGTTGGTTCTTAATTTGCTGAATTTAATTCAGTTGTTTTGAATATACACTCTTCTGTAATCTCTATGTACTTCAACACATATCTATCCCTGAGATTTGTAATCATTTTTGAGCGCTGGTTTGGGTAGCTAATGACTGAGTTTTACTATAAAATATACATTTTATTGGCTTTTTATTTTATTTCATTTTTTATTTTTATTTTTTAATTTTTTGTGAAACTTTAACTGAGCATATTTAATAGTTCTTTTCCTTAATTAAGATTATAGTATAATAAAAGTAAAAAAAGTAGTTTTCTCTAATTAAAAAACCAATAAAATAAACGCACTCAATCACAGCAACAATATCAAGCAGCTAAGAAATTGTGGATCTTTCTGCCAGCTTATCACTTAGCCAATCGACAGTAGCGTACATATTTCGTCAATTAACTACTTGAGAATGACTGAGAAGTAAAACTTAATCAAAACCGGGTGACATAAGATTGATGGGCTTAAAATAAGATAATTAAATTTAATAATTTAAAATAAATTAATATAAAATAAAATAACTAATAACGTTAATTAAACTAAACTAAAATAAAATAAAATAAAATAAAATAAAATAAAATAAAATAAAATAAAATAAAATAAAATAAAATAAAATAAAATAAAATAAAATAAAATAAAATATATGTTATAAATGTAGTAAGGTATAACGGTAGTCTACATTAAATAACGCTTTATTGAGCTACATACGTTCATATTTGCAAGTTTATTAATTTGTTGTGAAAAACTGCAACATTTCCAAATCACAAAAATGTGTCCTAAAATTAGCTTTTTAAACAACTAAATATTTGTAAAAAAAAATTACAAATCCGATTGATCTTCTACCCAATCTTATTTAAATTGTAGACTGAAATATACAATGATGGCATGCCAAAATTGCATGCAATTTCAGTGTCAATATGAATGTTATTGCAAGCAGCAGAGCGTTTTTTCTGATATACACACATATATATATATGTATATAGTATTGCAAATGTAAATGCTCTAAAAGCATTTGCCCGTATTTGAGCGCTGCTAATTTTTGTGACGCGTGTCAAAATGAAGAGTTAAATTAAAAGTGAAATATAAAAATAGAAATGAGAAAATAAAAGCAGACGAATATGTAAGAAATATTAATAATTAAATTGGAAATATTATTCAACTTATTAAAATTATAATTGGAATAAATTTAAATAATAAAATAAATAATAAATAATATAAATAAATTGACGCTATTTATTTACGGTTTTTTACTAATCACAATCAGAAAATTAACTACATGTCTATTTAAAAAATAATTGAAATACCCTCGAAGTGAGTCATGTGGTCGTAAATTTGTCACAATACTTAAATACACTAATTTAAAAAACAATAACATGCA